GTACACCAGCAGTAAGTGCAATAGTGCAGATGTGGGCAGGGGTGGTACAGTTCTGCACTGTGAAGGCAGGCTGCTTTTATCTCTTTAGTTTTTGTCCACCAGGTGTCATCTGAGAAGCACCTGATAGCTACTACAGGCATAAGCTTTTGTATTTTTTTCTTTCTAGAAACCAACAGCAAGCTTTTACTGTCTATAAGCAACACATCCTGCATTCAGCCTTTTGGCTGTCTCTATGCCTCTTTACAGGATGATCTGATCTGGCCCTGTACTGGCACCATCAGCTCCCCTTCATTTGATGAGGACAGAGTGATTAGTACCCATGGGAGACACAGGAGAGAGTGGTCATCACTTCTTCCTGTAAGCCCTGTCTTGGAGTGCTAGCAGACCTGACAGCCTGGACACACAAAGGTTTGTTGTTCTGCAGCCACAGCCCAGTGTTGGTGTCCCCCAGTACCTTTTCCTGCCAGTGCCTAACTTGCCCCAGAAGTTGAGGAGCTCCAGACTAGACAGTGGCAGTATAGTAGATCCCTTTTCTGTTCCCCAGATGAGTGCCTATTCTGCTCATCCTAACTCATTTTTGCATACAGCTTTGCTTTAGGTAGAAGGAACTTTGCATGGTGTCATGATGGCAAGGAACGGTGGCTTGGATTTCATGTTTTGTTCTGTGTAGAAGGCATCTCCAAAGAAGCTAAAAGCACAAGATACAGAAAGAGGCCTGGAGTCAGTAGCTTAGTTTTAGTAAATGTTTGTAGGAGAATATAGATGGTAGGAATAAAAAAACCTGTATTCATAATGTCCACAGAAATATCTGCTCATCTAAACTACCACTTCCTTTCCTTTCTGTAAAACACAGTCTGTATCTTTCAAGAAAATAGACCTTTATTTGAACCCTGATTGAAGTCTAGATTTCACGCTAAAACTGAAGTGGAAGACCAAAAGGGAAATGAACAAACCTGAACAAATCAACATGACAAATCCAAGGGTCCCAAATGAACAGGAGCACATCATTTTACTGTTCTTCACTCTCTCCTGATTTATAACTGTGTAAATGACAACTGAATCTGATCTCTTAATAATACGTCCTATTCCTTCCTTTTTTCCTCCAATTCGTTCCTTTTTTTTTTCCACTCTCTAGGATTTCCTCATCGTTGCCAATTCTTGGCTCTTCTGTAATTCTCTCCTTCTTCATCTCCCTTTCCTGTTACAAAAGGCAGAAGAAAATGTTCCTGCAACTATACTTGAAACACACAAAAAGAGATAGCAGGCGTGCCAGTAGAACACAGATAGTCCTAAGTTCAAGTCCCAATCTTGCAAAATACCTTCCTTCTTAGATCCTGCAAGCAGAGGACAGAAATGTGCTCTGGCAAAATTACAGGAAGTTTTAGGCTTGGCCAAACCTCAACATAGCAAAAAGTTGGATGCTTTCCCCAGTACACATTTGTATATTCAATCAACAACCTTAGCAGCTGCTTGTGTTTGAAACTGGCACACTGCATAGGTCACGCTATTGACAGCATCAGTCATGCTGGGGCTTCAAGACCTTACTCAGCAGCTGTCTCTGCCACTTCTTTTTCATGGTGAGTTTTTAGTTTATCAGCTCCTAAGCTACTTTTCTGCAACTGGTTATTAATTCAGTCAAGTGTGATGAAGCCCCTTTCTTAGGGCCTTTCATTGGCCTTTTCTGTGGCTTCTGCAAAAAATTGGCTGCCTACTTCAGGCTGTCGAGAGCTTTTCTTCCTCCTGTCGCATAAAGGCCAAGAGTCTACTAACTCAAGTCACTCTCAGCAGCACTCCCAAAAACCTCAAATAAGTCAGAGGCAGATAAATGAGAATGCATTACCAACATAATGAAGGTTGTCTAGGGAAGTGTGCCCTGCAGAAAAGAGAGGGTTTCCTAGGTCATGAGGAGAATGGCTGGCTGGCAAAGCTGACCTGTACTAGGAGCAAGTGCAAGGATATTTGTGTGCAAACGTGAAGCTGCCATGCACAGACGAAGAGAATCACTTGGTCTGTCACAAGTGTATGGCCTGGTGTTGCTACAGCTGGAAGTGTTTAAGAGTTTTGGCACTGATTTCATAATGGGCACATTAAAGCTCTAAATTTTTATGATTACTTCTATTTTTCTCAGTTCTAGTCTCTACAGCTCTCTATGGTAGCTATGAGAGTTACATGATTAAATTAGCAATCAGAATTAAATTTTTAATCAGAATTTAAAAGCTACATTTTAGAATGTTGTACTTCTACATTTTTGATTTGTAGTTACTGTAAGTCCTTATGCTTAGGCAGCTTACTGAGCGTGTGTGTGACTTCGGACTGTAACTGTATAACCAGTACAGCAACACACATATGTCAATCACAGTCAGAGTTTTCGCCTCCTTTATTCTGGATATGTGGCTGAAAGATGCAAGACACCCTCTCTGCTAGTTAACATGGAAGCAAATCTTTGTAGTTTTAAAAGAGAAAACATTAACAAAAAGTCCATTTGCAGCAAAAAAAGTCATATTGTCCAAATTCAGATTAAAAAATAAATTTGAAATGGTGACAACAACTACTATTTTCATGGCCACCATAAGGCTACT